TGAGAAGAAAATCTGAATTATTCCTAAAATGAATGTTGCATTTTTTTTTTTTTTCCTAAGGCATAGTGAATTAATTGCCTCCAAAGATACCAGGTCCTGTGTCCTGGAACATGGAAATGTTACCTTATTTGAGAAAAACAGGGTGGTGGTCTTTGCAGCTGTGATTAAATTGAGGACCTCGAGTAGGGAGCTGATGCAGTTTATGGCTGTCCTTACATGACAGGGATGGCCAGAAGAGAACTCCATGTGACCCTGGAGCCAAGATTGAGGGATGTGCCCCAAAGCCCATAAATGTCAGCAGCTATTGGAATGCCTTTCCCCCAGGGCCTCTGGAGGGAGCAGGGAACCTGAAAGTCACCTTCATGTCACTGTTTTCAACTCTTGGCTTGCAAAGGTGTGACAGAGTAAGTTAGTGTCATGGTTGGTTTTTATAGTCAACAACGGATACAGCCTGGGTCACCTGGGACAAGAGCTTGTCACTGAGGGGACAGTCTAGATCAAGTCATCCTGTGACACATCTCTAGGAATTTCTCCTTCCTTCCTTCCTTCCTTCCTTCCTTCCTTCCTTCCTTCCTTCCTTCCCTTCCTTCCTTCTTTCCCCCCTCCTCCCTCCCTCTCCCCCTCCCTCATCCTCTCCTTCCTTCCATCCGCCTACCCTCCAAATAGGGACTTGCTACTGGTTGGGCTAGAACTGACTCTGTAGATCAAGCTGGCATCAAATCCAGTGAGATCTGCCTGCCTCTGCCTCTGCCTCCAAAGTACTGGGATTAAAGGCATATGCCCCTATGCCTGGCACAGAAGGGTTTTCTTATTGAGCAGGGTAGACCATTCCGGAATGTGAGATGTACCATGGGTGCATGTGACCATGGTCAGAGGACAATCCGTAGGGGTCAGCTTTCTCCTTACACCAATGAGTTCTGAGGATTAAACTCAGATGTGGTGTGGTGGCAGGCACCTTTGCTTGTCTACCAAAAGTCCCTAAGGTTGCTTTTTTTTTGGGGGGGGGTGTTCAAGACAGGGTTTCTCTGCTTAACAGCTCTGGCTGTCCTGTAACCCTAAGGTAGTTTTTTTTAAATGTTTATTTTATTATTTTATGCGCATGGGTATTTTGCATGCATGTATTTTTGTGCCACTTGCATGCAGTGTCCAAGGAAGCCAGAAGAGGGCATCAGAAACCCCTAGAACTACTGTTAAAAGACTGAGTGGTCATGTGGATGTTAGGAATTGAACTCAGGTCCTTGGGATGAGAGGGCAATGTGTGCTCTTAACCTCTGACCCATCTCTCTAGCTCTAGACTGGTTTTGTCTGGGCATTATTGTCATAGTAACAGGAAATAAAACTAGGACAGTCGGTTTGTGGTAATTCATTACAGTAGTCATGGAGACCAATAACTTAAAAAGCTGCAGAAAAAATTGCTTTTCATTTAGTTCTACTTAGAAGGAATCACCATCAACCTACTTACTCAAGAAGCAGAAGGGAAGGTCCCACCTCTCCCCCTACCTCCCTGCCCTCCAGCCCAAATATGAGCATGGGCTTGCCTTCCTATGTACTAACACAGACTGCCTTCTTCCTATTAATTTCTTCAGTAAACACTCTTCAGAAATGTGTCTTTTCCTGTCTACACAGCATTGAAACAATAGATTTGCCATTTGTTTGTCTTTGGTAGTAGAGATATAGCTATTCTCCAAAATTGGGATGCAATATATAATACCACAATGAATATAGTTGTATACCAATTATTTGGGTTAATTTCTAATTGTTACCCAAAAATTAGGCCTTAGAGTGACTGAACTAAAAATGTGTTTAGAACCTTGATATAATTTCAAATGACTTTCTAGGAGACCCACCTAATTTATATTTCCAGTAGAAATGTAATATTTAAATTTATGTTTAAGTGGCATCATCAGGTAAGAGCACATACTGGTTTTGTAGAGAACTCAGGTTTGGTTCCCAACATTCACATAAAACTCAGAACCATCTGCAACTCCAGTTCCAGGGGTCCAGTGCCTTCATGGACACCCACATGTGTGTGGTGCACAGGCACTCACGCAGGTGCACACATGTACACATATATTAAAACGCATGCCTTTAATTCCAGCACTTGGGAGGCAGAGACAGGCAGATCTCTGTGAGGCTAGCCTGGTCTACAAACAAGTTCCAGGACAGCTTAAGCTGTTACACAGAGAAACCCTGTCTCAAAAAAACAAAACAAAACAAAAGACATGCAAATGCATCTTTCTAGTAGTTTTTACATAATTATGTTTCTCTGAATTGTTTGTTGGAAGTCTTTTGCTCTTTTTTATTAATAAGCAGTAGTTGTCTATAATTAAGGAATATTAATCTCTGTCATTTATTAAGAATAGAATATTTTAAAATATTTATTTATGCATATGAGTAGTCTATTTGTTCATATGCCAGCATGATAGAAGAGGGCATCAGATCCCATTTTGGATGGTTGTGAGCCACCATGTGGTTGCTGAGAATTGAATTCAGGACTTTTGGAGGAGCAGCAGTACTCTTAACCTCTGAGCCATCTCTCCAGCCTGAACGGTATATATGTTTTTTTTTTTTTTTTTTTGATTTGGTTTTCGAGATAGGGTTTCTCTATAGCTTTGGAGCCTATCCCGGAACTTGCTCTGTAGACTAGACTGGCCTTGAACTCACAGAGATATGCTTGTCTCTGCCTTTCTAATGCTGGGATTAAAGGTGTGTACCACCACTGCCTGGCCCAATTGGTGCATTTTTAACAGAGACTCATGTAGCTGACTGGCATCTCAGTTGACATATGGCTGCAGCTGGTCCTGAATTCTCAATCCTTTGCCTTCATCTCTCAGTGTTGAGGTTACAGTACACTAGCCTGCCCTGCCTAAGAATAGATATGCAATAAATATGCAATACGTTTTATTTTATGTGTATGTGGCTTTTGCTAGCATGTAAGTCTTCACACCACACAGATAGATAGATAGATAGATAGATAGATAGATAGATAGAGAGAGAGAGAGAGAGAGAGAGAGAGTACAGGTGCACGGGACAAACTGTGGGAGTCTTTTCTCTCCCTCTACCATGTTGGTCTCAGGGACTGAACTTGAGTTTGGGTTGTTAGGGTGGGCAGTTGAATCCCTTCACCATCTCAGGCCTGCCTTTCTTTTAAGATTCACTTATACGTATGTAATTGTGTCTTTACGAGTTCATGTGCATCACATGTGTGCCAGGCACCCAAGGAGGCCAGAGGGTGTGGAGCCTTCTGGAACTGTAATTACAGGTGGTTTTTAATGATTGAACCACCTCTCCAGCCCTCCCCCCCAAGCCTTTCTTAATATACATTTATACATCTTGGTTTTTTCCTACTTTTCAACTATCGCCGTGACCTTGTTCCTATATCAGTGAAAACACTTAAATCCATTGTAAGGTTCCAAGCCCAACTCTTAAGAATAATTATTCATGCCGGGGAGTGGCGGTACATGCCTTTAATTCTAGCACTTGGGGAGCAGAAGCAGGTGGATTTTTGTGATTTTGAGGCCAGCATGGCCTACAAAACAAGTTCTAGGACAGCCAGGTTTACACAGAGAAACCCTGTCTCAAAAAAAAAAATCTATCCCCCCCAAAAAACTAATTATTCATTTATTCCTCTGTGATTTTGAATGAAGGAACGCTTCACATGGTCAAAAATTTATTGCAGGATATTGAGAAATGTCCTGTCACATCACTAGTGCCCAGATCAGGTTCTTTGCTATCTATGATGCTAATTGGAGCTAGTGGTCTCCTGACCCCTGTCCTCCAGCTGTCCACTGGCCCTGCAGGGGTGAGTAAGGCACATCACACCTCCCCGCACCTCTCTGATCTGTATTCATTCCTTCCAGACTGACTTTTGTGGTGAGTTACTTTAGCAATCCCCATCCCTCTCTCCTTTCGCTTTTCCATCAAGCCACCACCCTATTCTATAAATCTACTTATGTAGGCAGTTGTCTTAAGCCTGGTTTTAGTTGTTTTTATGTATTAAAAACTGTAATTAGCATGCTTGGTATTAGTTTTCATTACAACACTGTCAAACAAAATCTGTTCTTGCCCTGTCCCATCTCCTTCTTTGCTCTCTGCCTGAGCCCCTCTTGTCCCCTTCCACCCACCAAAGCCTCTTTCTACATTCATGTCACATGTGTCTTGTTGCCACCCCCTCTCCACTTCCTGCACACCTCCTTCTGGCTCTACACTCCAGAGTCCTAGCCTGTACCTACACTTATGCTCACTTATACACACGCACAACCATCACGAGCTTGCATCAGAACCAGAGAAAAACCGTTTAGGCTTTGTCTCCCTGTGCCTGGCTACCCTGTCAAGCCTAGCTTTAATGTTTGCTTTATGCATGTGTTTGGGGCCCTATTCTCTTTTCTGCTCACCCATGGGTGCCCCATTTGGGGGCCGTGAAGCTTGAGTGCTGATATTCTGCTCTTGGATGAGCAGCCCACTGGCCTATCCCGTCCTCTCTCCCCCTGGTCCAGGTGCTTTTCTGTTTCCTTTCTCTTCTCAGCTTCCTGACCTATCTTTTGATGTTTGGGAGTTTCTACCCAGTGGTCTCTCTCCCTAGCCCCCAACCGAACACAGAAGGAATGCTCTTTGAAAATGAACCATCACGGTGTATAGCAAACACTGGGGGTGGGTTGGGGGCTCGGATCCCTGCCCTGCCTCTGTTGTGTGACCTTGGGCCAGCCACTTTACTTCTTTGGTTCTCCGTTTCCTCCCTGGACAACAAGGCACATTCAGTTGAATAAACAAAGACCTAATTTAACCCAGCTCTTAAAACAAGCAGCTTCATTCTGAAAACCTAAGAAACAGTTAGCCAACAGTCCCACTGCTCTCCTTCCCTCGCCATCTTACTCCCACCACGATGCTAAGATAATGCCAACCAGCTGGTGAGTTTTATTATTGTTATTTCAGTGTTGAAACTGCCCTTGGCCGGTCCATGCATCCCAGCGGCTAACCACAGTGAAAATGCAAACACTCACCGTGAATTTCTCATAGAGCTCGTAGGTCAGGAGGGGGTTGGGCAGCTCCCTGAAGTAGAGCTTGCACAGGGAGCCCACACAGTGGATGTCTTGGAGGTACACTTCCCTTGTCAGGTCTGGACATTGATCTGAGCCGAACTCTTGCCTGAAACAACACAGACGGAGACATAACAATCCCAGGGAACATGTGCTCCATGTCGGCAGCTGCTCCGAAGCACGGGGGTAAAAAGAGTCTACACTGCTGATCTGCCTGTACTCTTGACCTCCATTCTACTCTGGGCACCAGGAGACCATTGGAGAGACAACGTTTCTGGAGGCTGAAGCTTGCTTGGAAGTCAGCTATGACTCGAAGTCAGAAAACTCACTTGAGAACAGACGTCCCCATGACACTCTATCTGTGCCTTGGTCATGGGCACTGGGAGGGTATGGAGGGTATGACAAGTTTGCCAAAAGAGACCAATGAGATTTCAGTTTTCCTAAAACATTCCTCAAAATCAAATCCTTCCTTCCTTCCCTCCCTCCCTCCCTTCCTCCCTCCCTCCCTCCTTCCTTCCTTCTTTCCTTCCTTCCTTCCTCCCTCCCTCCCTCCCTCCCTCCTTCCTTCCTTCTTTCCTTCCTCCCTTCCTCCCTCCCTCCCTCCTTCCTTCCCTCCCTCCCTTCCTTCCTTCTTTCCTTCCTTCCTTCCTTCTTTTCTTCCTTCCTTCCCTCCTTCCTTCATTCTTTCTTTCCTTCCTCCCTCCCTCCCTCCTTCCCTCCTTCCTTCCTTCTTTCCTTCCTTCCTCCCTCCCTCCCTCCCTCCTTTCTTCCTTTCTTCCCTCCCTCCCTCCCTCCTTCCTTCCTTCTTTCCTTCCTTCCTTCCTTCCCTCCCTCCCTCTCTCCTTCCTTCCTTCCTTCTTTCTTTCCTCCCTCTTTCCTTCCTTCCTTCTTTCCTTCCTTCCTTCCTTTCTTTCACCATTGAGACCCCAAACTGGGAGGTAGGGCTGCCCAGGGTGGGGAGGCTGTGATGTCTTATCACCCATCCCCTCAGTCATGTCACAAACTTGCTTCTCTGGATACTCAAACCCAAGGCTCGAGGACTTAATTCAACCACTTCTCTGATGCTCAGTGGAACTTTCTAGGTTGCTTAGTGGTGACTCCTGCATGTCACCCGAGTGCGGGACTATCCTAAGCAGTTCATAGTCAGATGCCAGGAATACCAAGGTATTCTTGCTCCAGGTTAGGCTTCTGTGCTGTTTTCTTTCTTTCCTTTTATTTAATTTTCTTTTGCTCCATTTTTTGAAATAGAGAATCACTGTGTAGGCCAGGTTGGTCTTGAACTCACATCCTTCTTCAGCCTCCTGAGTGTTGGGGGGGGGTCACAGGCCTGTGCCACCAGACCTAGTTTAGGCTTGGTGTCAAATCAGAAAATGCTTCCTTACAATGTTACATGAATGCCCTGCCTCAAACAATACATACTTGTAAACTGCAATATGGTTTTAGTATAGAAGGCAGGCTTCTAAGTGTCTTCCTTGGTCAGTAAAACAGATAAATTCTGAGGATCAGCATTTTCAAATCAGCCCATGGCCTACATCTGTTCTGGTTGTTTCTTCAAAGATGAGTGGGAACTCTCCGGTACTGTAGGAACCTCAAGGTAACTCATGGGCCTTGAGAAGAGCTGTCCCATGCATGAGTCTGTGAACACATGTGCATGTGTGACGGGCAGGCACAGGGCTCAGTGCTGATCCCCAGCAAGAGACGAAAAATGCTGCCAATAGAATTCTAAGGCATGGCACACTCATGCCACGTATGGTGGCACACTCCCAGGGCTTGGGAGGATGAGGAAAGAGAATTGTGAGTTCAAAGCTAGTCTGAGGTAGAGTGAGACCCTGTCTTAAAAAGCAAAGAAGACACCCAAACAGCTGAGATAGCGGCACACACCTTTAACCCTAGCTCTTGTGAGGCAGGTGGGTGGGTCCCTGTGAGTTTAAGGCCAGCCTAGTCTACAAAGTGACACCCCGCCTCAAAACAAAACAAGGCAAAATCCTGACAACAACAATAACAAGAAGCACACTGTAAATTAAATTACGTATACACAGATTCACAAAAGCAAAATAGGGTTGGGGTATAGCATAGTATTAGAGCACTTGGCTAGCATGTGCCTAGGTTTCATCCCAGTACCACAACATTTAAAAAAAAAATCTATATTTGTAATAAACCAATTATTTTTAACATCCATAAAAGTGGTTTTTTTCTATAATTTAATTATAAGTGGTATTTTGAGACGAAGGACCAAATAGACAAAACTGGAATTATATAATATGTAATCTGCATAATATATCATAAGTTACATGCTGACTTTGCAATAAGAGTGTTCTACAGAAGCAGAATTGTCCTGAATTCCATGCCAGTCTGGGCTAAGAATAATGTCTCAAAAAATGCTTAAATGTATATTCCCATTATTTTAAAATTGATATTTATAATTAGCAAACATATAATAATTATATTTTAAAAACCACTAAATATTCTTTTGCCATTATAAATAATAAGCAAAATAATAAGCTGTCATATTAATCACAGGACACATATTTCAATATATTTCATATATTCTATATACACATTTTTTTTTAATTTAAAGTTTTTTTACACATCATCCATTGAAAAAAATTACTGGTGTATGGGGGAGGTGGAAGGCACACTTGCCATTGATTGCATATGGGGGTCAGAGGGCAACTTTGTGGCTTACGTAGGCTCCAGGGATTGAACTCAGATCATTGGGCTTGCCTGGCAAGCATCTTTACTTGTGGAGCCACATCACTGGCCCCGAGTAACTTAAGAATGTCAGCATCGATTAGAGAATTGTACAATTATGCAGACTTCTAATTTCTCAACCATCTGAAATATCAAGAGTGTATCCAAAGAAAATCCCCCTAAGGGCTTAGAATTCTGAATACTGTGTGAGGGGCCCCAGTCTAACTGGGCTTTAGAAAAAAAAAAAACAAAACACGTTTTCTAACTTGTAATTTAGATCACGTGAGGTAAACCCAATCCATCAGAGAAGTGTAAACCCTACCCAAGACAAAGAAAAAGACGTTTTCGTTGGAAAGCATTCCACCAGACTGGGAGCCTCCTGATTAGGGTTAGAACTGCCAGGCATCTGAGCCTCACACAGGCCACCTTTCTGTTTTCTGGGACTCCCAACAAGTGCCATCGGGGACACAACAGGGACAGGCTCACTGGAGAATTCTGGGCTCATCTTTGGGCTTACCTTAGCCGCTGGATGTTTGAGGTGACGCCTGAGAGACGGTAGATTCCATCCACAATGCCATGAGTCTCTATAAATTCGGCACAGCTCTTCAGCACATATGGAACTATGTACAAGAAGAGAAGAACAGTTAAGTATTAGATGTATATCTGTCCTGTAAAGATTGTCCCCTTACAATCCAGGTAAGTTCAAAGAGAAATAGGAAGGGACTCAGTGGTGGTACAAGCTGTAGCAATTGCTTATGAGTGGTAGGCAATGCTCCTTAGAGGTTTAATAAAGTTTTAAATACTCATGTGTTGAGGCCTGGTAGGTGTAGTGATGCATATCTGTAATCTGAACACTGGAGAGTTCAAGGCCATTGTCAGTTGCATAGTAAGTTTGAGGGTGGCCTGGGCTTTGAGACACTGTTTCAAACAAACATACATTCAAACAAATACCCCAACTTCATATGTCTTTTAAGAATATATATTTTTACATCTGTGAGTAACTGATGCATGCCCTCCTTTGAAAGGGGCGAACCCCAATCCTTCCTTCCAGTCATTCATTTAAATGGCTCATCTATAAAAGGCTCTAATATCCTCTTGCATTCCCATCCTTCCAGATGCAGGGCTCTGGGGTAGAGAATGGTTGTGTTATTCTCTCCTGGGTTGACCTTGAAAGACCATAGTCAGAGTGACAGAATGACACATGTCTTTTAGTTGCACAACAGTCATTTGCTTTTTGGGTCCCTTGCCAAGTCTGCCTGATGTCCCCTTGCGAGAGTGCGATGAATAGTGATTTGGTGTGGGATAGTACAAGCCTCAGACTAAAGTGTTTGTGGTTCTTAGATACCTAAGGGTGACACAGGTTCTCTGTGAACTAAGGATTGGTTAGTAGCTATGCCACTCCCAACACACCCCCCAATCCTTTCTTGGATTGAACTAATGCCAATTCATTCATGCTTATTGCACAAGCTTATTCCTAAATGCAAGCCCATACTGGACTGGGTCTTCCTCATTTTGAGACAGGGCTTTGATATAAAGCCAGGTTAACCTTGAACTCACCAAGCTTCCCAAGTACTGGGATTAGGCAAACACCACCACATCTGGCTGAGATTGAACCTTTGTCTAGGTAGATACTAAATGGTTGAATCCAACACTCTATCTAGACAGAAGGTATTTTGTTTCAACCGTGTCATTGTTACTGGGTGCTGGAGGATCTAATCCAGGGCTGCTTGGATGCTAGACAAGAACTCTATCACTACAATACAACTTTAAACCACCAAATTCTCTATTACAATGTCTTAGAAGCATTTCCTTTTTCTTGCTGCTTTGAAATCATTGTAAATTAGGCACTTAAGTTCATCATTCTTAAAAATATCCTGCCCATCCCTCAAAGGCTAATACATACCAGGGCCTCTCCCTTCAACAACACATCCCTATTTTGCCCATAGCTTATCCTGAAAGACGGGAACTGGGGAGAACCTTCCAGTTAACCCAGGTACAAGGAGGTCAGGGAGTGGATTTTGGATTGTAAATATCAGAGGCCAGAGACCACAGAGGTGGATCCACTTCCTGTGAGTGAATAGAGGGCGTGGGTGAGGTGTGGGAGCAAGCCAGGCCCCCAGATCCTTCTCTCATCTCTTAGCAGAAAAGGTGCAGTTGGATCTGCTTTATTACATAGGAAATTTGCTAAGTCTGTGTGTCTCACTCTAATGAGGGAAATACAAAATATGCCAATGTTAAAACATTTCAACATACACACACACACACACACACACACACACACACACACACACGAAATTTCTGTTGTGTAAGCAATAGCAGACTCTTCCAACACCACTCAAAGCTCTTCTGTAACTTGTCACATGTGGCATATGGCTGAGAATGCAGACTGAGATGCCAAACTGCCTTTGTGGCCTGGGATTAGAATATTTAATGAAGGCATCAGTGACATTACCAGAATGCTAGGACTGAAATGATCCATTTAGCCTGGACATCAGAAGCATTCTGCAATGACAGCTGTTATTTCTGTTTGTGGCTTATGTAGGACATGCATTTATAGTTTGTATTTTCTTGGTGACAACAAAGTTTAGCTCCTCTCATCCAAATGTGCTGTCAAAACTCATCTCTACTCCTTGGAATGGCTGCTGGTCCTACTTGAGAGTACTGCTGCTTCTGGGTGGTCTCTGTGCCCTTAGGTGACTCTGTGAGGCACAAAGGCATTGCTTATTTTATTATTTGTTCATTCATTTATTCTTAAATATGTAGTTCAGACTGGCTTCAAAATTTGTGATCCTCCTGCCTCCCGTCTCCTTCAGCAAATTCTCCCAGCATGCACCATCACCAACAGTGGTATCACATACTTTAGAGATGGGGAAGTATAGAAAAAGCCCTTGTTCAAAGCTCTATGTGAGAGGGGGTTCTACTATGACTCCCCCCCCCCAGAAAGAGGCACAGCCCCAGTCCCAAATGTGTCAGCTGTCCTGGATTCCCACCTTGGAGCTGGTGGGAAGGTGCATCTCTCCATTACTTTCAGCAGTGGGAAAGGAGTCACTCCATTTCCCCACTTAGGGCAGCCAAGTGTGTCCCCCAGCATGTCCCTTAGCCACCACAGCTCAAAAGCCATTCATTGGCCTAGCTAGCTTGTGAAATGCGGATGTATATACACACCAAGGGGATCTTGTCAACATGCATATTCCAGTTCAGTAAGAAGGTGGGTGGAGGGAGTGCCAAGGACTTTGCTTTATGAACAAGTTTTGAGGTGACAATGCTGCTGCCAATCAGCAGGGACACTTGGGGCAGTGAGGGTTTAAAGGGAGGTGGCACTGGGGAATGGTGTTTCTGGGGCCACCAAGAGATGGCTTAGTAATCACTGTAACTTACTCCTTTTCCAGAGGACCCCAGTTTGCTTCCCAGCACCCACATCAAATGGCTCACAACCACCGGAAGCTCCAGCTCCAGGGAATCTGACACCTTCTTTTGGTCTCTGTAGGCACCCTCACAAATATGGCATGCATATGCACACCAAAACACTTCAGTAAGAGTCTGGTCTCCATGTCCCAGGACTCCTTAGACTGTTGTTTCCAGAGTTCCTAGGTCAAGGGCAATTTAGGATTCTGATGAGGGTAGAATGCTGATAGAAGTGAGCTGAGTGTCAGCAGATGGATAGAAAGCCTCCCTTGTCAACACGGGAGGAGTGACTGTGGAGGTCGGAGTCACAGGGTTTGGCCTGTGAGATCTGTCTCGGACCCAAAGAACTTTGAGTCTCTCCCACACAGGTTCACACAGTTGCTGGCTGGGATACTGTGTTTTCATCTCTGAGTTGTTTCACAGACACTTTTATCCAACTCCCTTTTCTGGTTTGCTTTTGTTTTTCTTGGATCAGCAATCTTGAAGGCTAACTTCTAATCAGCACAAAGGCTTTCCTCAAAAGGCTTCTGCCAGAAGAGAAAGCCTTCCACCTGTCCTATTTATGTAGCATCATAGGGTCCCTTGTCTCCAGGCACAATGAAAACACACTCTTGTACTGATGAACGACGCTGAAAATCTCGGCCATCCCTGACTCCTCCAAGGGTTTAGAGAAGAAAGGGCCGCTCCAGACGTCATGACTCTGTGAATAGCCTCAGTTTCCTAGGGTCTGGGCTTGATGGAAGCAAGCACAGTTCTCTTTGGTCACTGTGGGGTCCTTGAAGCCACATTCTTTCAGAGCACATTAAATTGCCTTTGTGCTTTATGGGCACAGCCAAGACCCTCCCTGTTCTTATCTCTTTTTGGTCAGATGTCATACCTCTCTGGGTTCTGTGTTCCTGACCTTCAAGTAAAGTATAGGGATTATACCTAAATAAAACTATTTGCATGCATGCATGCATGCATGTATGTATGTATATGTGTGTGTGTATGCACATGTATATGTTCAAACACACACACACACACACACACACACACTCATGAAATTCAGTGTAGCAGCAAGTGACAAACCTAGGGTTTTATCTCAAAGACACGAGGACAGGTGGCAGAAGCCAGTCCATTCAAGTTGATATGACATGATTCCACCCATATAAAACTCCAAGAAATAGGGGCTAGAAAGATGTCTTAGCACTTAAAACATTTACTACTATTGCAGAGGACTGGGGTTCAATTCCCAGCATCCTCATGGCAATTCACAACCATTCATAACTCCAATTCCAGGAGATCTAACACTCCTGACCTCTGTGGGCACTAAGAATGCATGTCACACACACACACACACACACAAACACAATCACTTGTACACATAAAATGAAAATAAATAAATCTTTAAAAGAAAACAAAAGCAACAACTTCAAAGAATGAAAATAAATTTGCAAAAGGAGATTACAGGGGAGTACCCTGAGGTAGGCAGGGCAGGCAAAGGGCTCCTGTACTGTTTGAGACCATAGGAAAGTTCCGGTGCCGACTGTTAGTGAAGAATAAAGAAGCTTGAGGGGCAGGAGAGCAGGGGGTAGACAGCCTTACAGGGAAGAAATCTTTTGACATCACTGTGAGCGGGAGGGGCCAGCCACTGCGACGACAGAGCATTCTCTGTGCCATTTCCAAGAGATGTGGACAAGGGTTTAAATCCTCCACATTTTGTCCATCACTCAGAACTTCCTTAGAGCTTTCTCCCCAGAATCTTCCATCAGCCCTTGCTCTTCCACAGGTTCCCTGTCCCCCTAAGCCACACACACTGTCTTTGTCCCCCTCATGGCCTCTGTGAGGCTCCCTGTCCCCCTCATCTCTCCAATCTTCATTTTGTTGCCTCTTCTCCTCCTCTTGGCCTAATGTGGAAAATTAAAGATGTATAAACTTGTGGTATTTGGATAACAAAATACAGTATATTTTCTGCCTTTTCAAAAAAAAATTGACTGCTTTCTACTTTTATGATGAAGAAATTAAAATATGTGATTTTAGTCTGGTCTTAGAGGAACAAAAAACTTTCTTTACAAAACTTTTTTTCTTGGGGTGTGGCCTATAACTGTAATCGTAGTACTTGGGAAGAGGAGGCAGGAAGAAGTTCAAAGTCAACCTCAGCTACAGGAGTATGAGGCCAGCCTGGGCTACACTGAGATTGGATCAGAGAGTTAGCTCAGCAGGTAGCAGTGCTTGC